AGTTGGTAAGTGAGAGAGAAGCCATATTGTTTGCAAAGGTTAGCTTTTTACTTCTTTGCAGATTTATGCCCTGTGGCTTCTATGCCCAGCACTTGTCTCGAGGTATCTTTACCACCTGGAGGAATTATGATACTCGGTAAATTCGATATGAGGCACGAATTCTATTTAAGGGTTGTAATTAGGAAGGAAGAAGAAAAGCTATAGATGTAGCATATGAAGGAAACTTGGGAGGATTGATTATTTCTTTGACATATCTTCTTGTATAGTACCTTAAGTATGTATAGGTTTTAAACTACTAACTAATTTGCACACACATATTAACATAATAGGAATACGGTGACATAAACAAAGCAAATCTATAATTACCAGCCATCTCCAGTGAAGCCAAGAAAACCATTTAGGCACCCTAGGCATTTGTGAAAATTTATCTATGATATGATGGATATTTTCCAACTGTACTTGAACCATCAGACAAATTAAAGCAGCCCATTTCTGGGATCTGTTCACATCCCATATGTTCTTTTAACCATAGATAGTCTATAGTCATGAGATTTTGGGGTGCTACAACTTGCACCCCTCCCAACTCCTGGTTGAGTTCCAACAGTACAGATCCAGTCAAATTCGTTGTCTCACTGTATGCACATGCCAGCCTAGACATCTCCCTCCTCCTTCTTATGGCAAGTCCAGGAGACGGTGGGCTGGATGCAGCCACAACCGCAGCATCGTCCGGATCCCTGTGGAGGCTTTTTGATGATCATCCCCCGGCACGAGTCCTCCAGAGAGTGCTGATGCCGGAAGCTCCTCCTCATATCGTATCTTAGTTCATTTTCTGGGTATCCAAGCTAGGCCTTGATCTTCTGCGTAGAAACAAACAGACCCTTTGCCCACACTTTGACATGCCCTCTATACCACTGTGCAGAACTCATTGGAGGTCAGCACACAGTAACTGCTTTTTTTTTTTTTTTTTAATTAAGAGAAAGGAATATTATCAGAAAAGAGTACCTCCATAGCTGATCATCTGACACCCTTTAAGTGATCAACATTAAGGATATTTAAAGCATGCGTTGATCTTTGATTTACCAATAGTTTTATCCTGTTAAGGAGTAATCCCCCTTTTCTTTCTTTCTTTCTTTTTTTTTTTTAAATTTTTAATCTACACTTACCTGAAGAATACTATGTTTACTATGCTCTCCCCTATATCAGGTCCCCCCTAACAACCACATTACGGTTACTGTCCATCAGCTTAGCAAAATGTGGTAGAGTCACTACTTGTCCTCTCTGTGTTGTGCAGCCCACCCTCCCCTTTCTCCCTCCCCCCCATGCATGCTAATCTTAATACCCCCCTTCTTCTTCCCCCCCCTTATCCCTCCCTGCCCACCCATCCTCCCCAGTTCCTTTCCCTTTGGTACCTGTTAGTCCATTTTTGGGTTCTGTAATTCTGCTGCTGTTTTGTTCCTTCAGTTTTTCCTTTGTTCCTATACTCCTCAGATGAGTGAAATCATTTGGTATTTCTCTTTCTCCGCTTGGCTTATTTCACTGAGCATAATACTCTCCAGCTCCATCCATGTTGCTGCAAATGGTTGGATTTTTCCACTTCTTATGGCTGAGTAGTATTCCATTGTGTATATGTACCACATCTTCTTTATCCATTCATCTACAGATGGACATTTAGGTTGCTTCCAATTCTTGGCTATTGTAAATAGTGCTGCGATAAACATAGGAGTGCATCTGTCTTTCTCAAACTTGATTGCTGCGTTCTTAGGGTAAATTCCTAGGAGTGGAATTCCTGGGTCAAATGGTAGGTCTGTTTTGAGCATTTTGATGCACCTCCATACTGCTTTCCACAATGGTTGAACTAATTTACATTCCCACCAGCAGTGTAGGAGGGTTCCCCTTTCTCCACAGCCTCGCCAACATTTGTTGTTGTTTGTCTTTTGGATGGCAGCTATCCTTACTGGTGTGAGGTGATACCTCATTGTAGTTTTAATTTGCATTTCTCTGATAATTAGCGATGTGGAGCATCTTTTCATGTGTCTCTTGGCCATCTGTATTTCTTTTTTGGAGAACTGTCTGTTCAGTTCCTCTGCCCATTTTTTAATTGGGTTATTTGTTTTTTGTTTGTTGAGGCGTGTGAGCTCTTTATATATTCTGGACGTCAAGCCTTTATCAGATCTGTCATTTTCAAATATATTCTCCCATACTGTAGGGTTCCTTTTTGTTCTATTGATGGTGTCTTTCGCTGTACAGAAGCTTTTCAGCTTAATGTAGTCCCACTTGCTCATTTTTGCTGTTGTTTTCCTTGCCCGGGGAGATATGTTCAAGAAGAGATCACTCATGTTTATGTCTAAGAGGTTTTTGCCTATGTTTTTTTCCAAGAGTTTAATGGTTTCGTGACTTACATTCAGGTCTTTGATCCATTTTGAGTTTACCTTTGTATATGGGGTTAGACAATGGTCCAGTTTCATTCTCCTACATGTAGCTGTCCAGTTTTGCCAGCACCATCTGTTGAAGAGACTGTCATTTTGCCATTGTATGTCCATGGCTCCTTTATCAAATATTAATTGACCATATATGTTTGGGTTAATTTCTGGGGTCTCTAATCTGTTCCACTGGTCTGTGGCTCTGTTCTTGTGCCAGTACCAAATTGTCTTGATTACTATGGCTTTGTAGTAGAGCTTGAAGTTGGGGAGTGAGATCCCCCCTACTTTATTCTTCTTTTTCAGGATTGCTTTGGCTATTCGGGGTCTTTGGTGTTTCCATATGAATTTTTGAATTATTTGTTCCAATTCATTGAAGAATGTTGCTGGTAATTTGAGAGGGATTGCATCAAATCTGTATATTGCTTTGGGCAGGATGGCCATTTTGACGATATTAATTCTTCCTAGCCATGAGCATGGGATGAGTTTCCATTTATTAGTGTCCCCTTTAATTTCTCTTAAGAGTGACTTGTAGTTTTCAGAGTATAAGTCTTTCACTTCTTTGGTTAGGTTTATTCCTAGGTATTTTATTCTTTTTGATGCAATGGTGAATGGAATTGTTTTCCTGATTTCTCTTTCTATTGATTCGTTGTTAGTGTATAGGAAAGCTACAGATTTCTGTGTGTTGATTTTGTATCCTGCAACTTTGCTGTATTCCGATATCAGTTCTAGTAGTTTTGGAGTGGAGTCTTTAGGGTTTTTTATGTACAGTATCATATCATCTGCAAATAGTGACAGTTTAACTTCTTCTTTACCAATCTGGATTCCTTGTATTTCTTTGTTTTGTCTGATTGCCGTGGCTAGGACCTCCAGTACTATGTTAAATAACAGTGGGGAGAGTGGGCATCCCTGTCTGGTTCCCGATCTCAGTGGAAATGCTTTCAGCTTCTCGCTGTTCAGTATAATGCTGGCTGTGGGTTTATCATATATGGCCTTTATTATGTTGAGGTACTTGCCCTCTATTCCCATTTTGCTGAGAGTTTTTATCATGAATGGATGTTGAATTTTGTCAAATGCTTTTTCAGCATCTATGGAGATGATCATGTGGTTTTTGTCTTTCTTTTTGTTGATGTGGTGGATGATGTTGATGGATTTTCGAATGTTGTACCATCCTTGCATCCCTGGGATGAACCCCACTTGGTCATGGTGTATGATCCTTTTGATATACTGTTGAATTCTGTTTGCTAATATTTTATTGAGTATTTTTGCATCTACATTCATCAGGGATATTGGTCTGTAATTTTCTTTTTTGGTGGGGTCTTTGCCTGGTTTTGGTATTAGGGTGATGTTGGCTTCATAGAATGAGTTTGGGAGTATTCCCTCTTCTTCTATTTTGTGGAACACTTTAAGGAGAATGGGTATTATGTCTTCTCTGTGTGTCTGATAAAATTCCGAGGTAAATCCGTCCGGCCCCGGGGTTTTGTTCTTGGGTAGTTTTTTGATTACTGTTTCAATTTCTTTGCTCGTAATTGGTTTGTTTAACTTTTGTGTTTCTTCCTTGGTCAGTCTTGGGAGGTTGTATTTTTCTAGGAAGTTGTCCATTTCTTCTAGGTTTCAGGCAAGGATTTAAACACACAATTTTCTTTTATCACTGAGGTTTGTACATGCAACGTTAGTACTCCTAGGATTGTATTATAATTATTTAAATATCTTTCCTCAAGTCCAAAAAGAAAAAAAAAAAGGTTCGAACAGGATGCTCTTTATTTTTCCAGAATTTAGTGCAGCATTTGGCCAATGAAAGTGAGCCACAAACATTTTCATATATGCATGATATTGCCTATATGTGGAATCTAAAACAGCTAACTCATAAAAATAGAGTAGAATTGTGTGGTTATTCTGTGAGTGGGGCAACTGGGGATATGTTGTTTAAGGGTACAAACTTGGAATTAGTCGATAAATTAAGTCCTGGAGAACTAATGCAAAACATAGTGATTATGGACAATAATACTCTGTTATAACCTTCAAAGTTGCTAAGAGACTAGATCTTAATTGTTCCTACCACATAAAAGAAATGATAATTATGTAATGTGATAAGAGGTGTTAACACTATGATAGTAATCATACTGCAATACATGAATGTATCAAATCAAATAGTTGTATACCTTAAACTCACATAATAGTGTGTATGTCAATTATATTTGAATAAAAATAAATTTAAAAATATATGCATGTATGAATATTGTCCACTAATACTGTATTTACAATGCACATAAGAGGAAGACTAATGTTAGCTGCTGTTTACTGAGTACTTAGCATGTGTCCAGCCCAGTGCTTCATCTCCAATTCTCACTTGCAGCCCTGCCAGGTAGATTAAAGTTATTTCCATTATTGCCCTTGAAAAAAATGAAGCTCAGAGAGGTCAGTCGAGTAGGCCATTGTCATCCAGCAGAGCCAGATGTGAACCCGCCTGTCTGACTCCAATGCCTGTGCTTCCCCTGAGATACCCGGCTGCCCTTTGATTATTGTTAAGATCCTGCAAGACACAAATTAGATTTTGATTTAATCTTTTCCATTCCTTTCCAGCTCCAAGTACAGCCCAGTACGGAATTACCGGGAGCGCTGACGTTCTGTTCTCCTGCTGGTACCTTGTGTTGACACTGTCCTCTTTCACCAGTATATTCTACCTGAAGAATGCCATTCTACAATAAATTTAAAGACCCATAAAAGGCTTTTAAGGATTCTCTGAAAGTGCTGATGGCTGGATCCAATCTGGTACAGTTTGTTAAAGGCAGCGTGGGATATAATCAGCAGTGCTTACATGGGGATGATCGCCTTCTGTAGAATTGCTCATTATGTAAATACTTTAATTCTACTCTTTCTTTGATTAGCTACATTACCTTGTGAAGCAGTACACATTGTCCTTTTTTTTTAAGACGTGAAAGCTCTGAAATTACTTTTAGAGGATATTAATTGTGATTTCATGTTTGTAATCTACAACTTTTCAAAAGCATTCAGTCATGGTCTGCTAGGTTGCAGGCTGTAGTTTACAAAAACGAATATTGCAGTGAATACATGATTCTTTAAGGCTGCAATACAAGCATTCATTTCCCTGTTTCAATAAGAGTCAGTCCACATTTACAAAGACGCATTTTTTCTTTTTTTGATAAAAAAGCAAATAATATTGCCTTTACATCATTTCTTCAAAATATAACACATATCTAGATTTTCCTGCTCGCATGACATTCAGGTTTCAGGAATGAGCCTTGTAATATAACTGTGCAGCTCTGCTTCTCTTTCCTGTAAGTTCAGCATGGGTGTGCCTTCATAAAATACTATTTTTCTCTTCATCTACAATGAAGAAAAATGTTTTGCCAAATCCTACAATTTGAAAGCAAAAATAATCCACAATGATGTAGTTGAACTATATCTAAAGAATGAAGGAACTCTTGGACTGTAAAAACTTCTTCCCTCATTATCTGTGGGGTTTGAGAATTTTGCCCCTCAGGAACTCAGTTTTGTGATGAAAAACAATTTAACTAACATAGTACAAGTAAATTTACCGAATGATTTCTTTAGTTGCAGTTACATATTAGATCCACTTTGGTAAATAATTCCCTTTGAAAATGCTAGCACAGTCCATCCAAGGGATTACCTACCCATACAGCATCTTTCCCTGTCACTATTCCAAGACCAAATGTTTAAGATCGTTTCTCAGAAAGGACACAAAGTCTGATCACCTAATATTACATGAGTTGGTAAGCACTCAAAATTAATTTGGTTCTGTGGCAGGTAACTTGGTATGATAGATGCAGTACTTCCCTGGACAGGAGCATTTTGCATATTTTCCAGCTGAAAACATCTCTCAGTTGACAGTTTGGATTGCATGTTACATAAAAAAATTTCCAAAATATATTATAATAAATATTCCATACTGGTATGCAGCACATCAAACCCTGAAAGAACTAATTCTCTAATAAAATCTTCTCTGTAGCTATGTAAGCTCGAACAAATAAGGCCAAAAGAAAGAAAAAGAAAAAATTACCCTATTTTATTTCTTCTGACATGCTGTATGTAAGATGTGATCAAATGAAGACGCCAGTGATGAGAGTATCAATGTATGTTAATTATTAAATTATGAATATTAAATCATTTAAATCACAATGAATGAAAACTACATTTTTGAAGGAAAATGCTGTTACTCTATGAAGTATTATATTACAGGAATAGCTTGATGGTTTTACTCTTTATTGAAAAAAGACCATCACCTTGAAAGCCATTATACAAGTTTAATAAAGCTAACAATTTCACTACACTTAGAGAGATTTCTGCAAATAGCCCCCTTTTGCAAGTCATAATAATTATAAAAAACTACTAATAAAGTTTGATACAAGAAATTTTGCAGAGGTTGTACATATTTACAATATCTAATATTTTGCCATAAAAGAGATGGCTTGAAAATTGTGATTTTTTTCCACCTGAAATTTAGGCCCAAAGTGCACTATAAATCTATTTTAATTAGAAAAATGAATCCCAAATGAGGAGGCATAAATATACAAGGTTTTCACATAATGGCAATAATATGACATGATGCTATTAAATTTACTCAATGTAATAATTTATGACATTATTTTGACTGAGTATTAAAAACAGGGTTTTTTTTGAACACATGGCATTTTAACTATGATTATTATTGACTTGCTTTTTAAATATTCTTTGTGGAATTGGTAAGTAAACTACAATTTTTTGCTTTCTTTTTTGTATTGCAGCTTTAAAGTGGCACACTCCATAATAATCTACTTACTAGAAATAGTGGTGCTACCACAAAAGTGTTAACCATCAGTACCATTGTTTGGGAGAAAGAAACATAATACATACTATACAGTGACCACTTTCCTACAGTTAAAAATACCTCCTCTTCGTAAGGTTTGTAGGGTAAATGTGAGGTAAATCGAGGTATAAACTATGGATGAACCAAATAATTAGTTCAAAGTGTTGTCATGATTCCGAATTTGTGGAGTCTGGTGTTTTTCCCATAGAATGTGACAGAAGTACAGTCATAGCTCAGTAGCTATATGTATTTGCCTTTATGTTAGAAGAGACTTTCTTGAGTGACATTTTTAAATAGAGGAGGTATTCACTATGTTTTTCTGTATCACAGCAGCATTCCTAGTCCTTAGGCCCCTGAACAGAGTGAAATCATGAGTATTTATGAGTTCAATATTGTTCAAATAAGGCTACAGTATTTGCTTTTTTGTGTGAATGTATTGCATATAATGTTCAAGTAGATGATTTTACATTTATGGACATATGAAATGTCTGATTACTCCATTTTATCAGTCCTGACTGTACAAGATTGTTGCAATTTCAGAATAGCAGTTTTATGAAATTGATTTATCTTTTGATCTGTAACAATTTTTTTCTAGCTATTCATTTCAGCATTATGTTTCCACAAGGTCCATTTGTGGGACTCTTTTAGTTGCCCCTGAAGTTTTGTTTCAAAGAAAGAAGAAAAATAAAGAGTACTTGAGAAAGGAGAGTGGAAAGTAAAGGGCAGAAAAGGGATGGAGGTAAAGAGAGAGAAAAAAGGGAAGGAGGAAGAAGGATGAGGGAAGGAAGGAGAGAAGAGGTAGGGAAGGAAGGAAGAAAAGAAAGAAGAAAGCAAGGAAGGAGGGAAGGGAAGAGCTAGAATAGGGTAGTTGATTTAATTTGTTTGCATTCTTGGTTTAACTCCAAGTGGTGTAATTAAGTTTTACAATAATCCCATTCAAAACATAAGTCCTGTTACACCATTAAGTTCCCATTGTACAGCAATTACATAAAGAAAAGAACTGCCCAAGTTATATTATTGTGTTTTGGTGGGGACACTAAAAGATCTGAGAGAGAGAATGTCAAAGTTAAAGCCACTTTTGCAGGGTGGGAGGGATTAAGACTTAACTGAAAAATTAATTCTTCATCATAACATTTTAGCTATATCTAGAAAGTAGACTGGAGAACTGAGAAAATAACCAGAGTAATTCTGGACAAAATACGTATACAAATACCCCAATATGTGAACCCAGAAAGCTCTGAGAAATTTATCAAAGCCAATCATCTATATTGATCAGATTTATTGAACAATTGTTAATTTATCCATTGTACTTAGCTTTGCGACACAGCCAAAAGTTACCTATTTAATCTTTTCAATAAAAATTGTTTTTTGAAATTCAGAAGTGATTTAAAAAGAGGTCAGGTTTTTAACTATTTATTGAAGTATGTGGATGTACAGTATTTCAATAGATATGAATATGAATAAATGGTATGCCTTAAGATCCTTTGAATATGTATTTACTTTAAAGACTGGAAAAAAGCTCTTCCTGTCTTTTAGTAAAACATCCATATTTCATAATCTGATGTAAAATATATTGTACTGTTTCCGATAGGTGAATATAAAGTCAGTTTATCAATTAAAATATGTATTTGACTCATTTAAAAAGTATTAGTTCACGAGAAAAAAGGAAGAAACAATAATTTAACCATATTTCTACTATTTCCTTCTTTATTTTCCACTGATCCACTGTACTACACTCAATTCTTTCAGATACTCCAAAGCAGTACAGGGCGAAAATGTTAGATGCTATAGTTTCAAAGAGTTCCACATTGTAGCCTTTCTCTCTGTTACTAATTCACAAAAGGGTAGACAAACTGAACTACATCTAGCCTAAAGAAGTTTTCTGGAGAGATCTTATTATCAATTATTTAGAACTTTTACCTGCTGAAATGCAGCAGAGTTAGCAATAGAGGCTGATGGTAAAATTCTGTTGGTTTTATAGGCTAAGCATCTGAAAACTCAAATGCCTAAAGGAGTCAAGCAGATAATATAATTTGATAAGCCAACTAGGTATAAAACAGGGAGTATATACTCTACCTCAGAGCATTCAAATACGATTTACTTAAAAACACCTAAACACCTTGCTTTTCAAACAAAATGTGATTTGGCTGAAAACCCTTAATTTCTGATTGTTATAGTATATAAATGAGAGCCACCCCATATGAATGATTTAAACCCTCTTCTCCAAATCTGTCCATCTATGATGTTCAACTGAATAAAAGGGAACAGTACGATAGATAAGCAAAACAAAAAACCATACAAAAAGATCCATGCTGTTGTAATAAGCTATTCTGAAATATGGGTGTCATTGCTAGTCTGGAAAAACCATATCTACCAAACCCTTTCCCTGACAAAAAAGAAAAACACACTAATAAACATCTGATTTTCCCACTGACTCATTATTTCTCCCTTTGTAACTTGTATTGTGCACTCAATCACATGGAAACAGAAGTATTGAGTCTCAGACCCTGAAAGCTACCATGCAAAGCAAAGCTATTTTCTCTCCGAATGTAGTATGTCAGAACATGGATATTTCAAAATGACATGCAGGTATTTGGAAAATAGTTGTTTGCATTAGTCTGTCAGGCAAAAATTTAAGAATTTTAAGAGAAAAATTTCTAAGAATAATTCATTCAAGATAGCAGAATTTGATCTAAATGCCAAAGAATCAATGTACTTCCCCTGAAATTCCCAAGAAGTATATGTCTTTACATTCACATGAACTTTTTTCTAATAATTCCAACTTTACTGAAAATATTTAGGAATTGACATCTCAAGTGGGAGGAGAAAAAATGGCAAATGCACCAAATAAATATTTTGTGAAATAAAATGAAGTTTTGTTGTTCCCCATGGTGGTCCTACAGGCAAGAGCTGCACAGGCTGTGGAAGCTCAGGTCAGCCAGGTCAGCTCCCGCTGTGCTGTGATGATGCCCTGCAGCCACTCTTGCCTGTGTCCCAAGACTCACAGCCCCTCACCCAGCACCCATACCAGGGAAAAAAGAAAAAAGAAAAAGAAAAAGAAAAGAAAAAAGAAACAGCCTGGAATGCTCAAAAGAAGACAAAATGTCTGGTTCTTAAACTTGTTTTTTCAGACATAGATGGCATAAGGATATTCATTGTCTGTTCTTTTAGGACATTGCCCTAATGTATTTGACTGATAGAACATTTTCCCTGTACCCATCCCCTGCTGTAAAAAAGTATTTAAGCTGTTCCCAAACAAAGGGGCTTTGGAGCAGTTTATCAGAACACACTGATAGGCTGCTTACCAGTCATGGTCTTCAGTAAGATGCTGAATAGACCCATGTTGATTTCAGTTGAACTTTCTAATCTTCCTGGAGAGAAAGAAAGGAGGAACAGTTTTCAGTCTTCTCCCTAAAAACTCCATGCACAATAATCCTAGGTAAACTAGCACAGCTTACTCAAGCCTTCAGTCTAAGAAACATGCTCCACTTTAGAGACAGATGTGGCAGCTAGATTTAGTCCTAAGTCACAACTATTTCTACCTTGCATTTTGTAAGGCACTTAGCAGTCATTGCTGCTCTGACTTTTGCAGTACTTTGAAATGGCATTATTGTCATGTATTGATGATGTAAACTAGATTAGATTCAGAAAGTTTAAGTATCTTGTTGAAGATCACACTTCTACTATTTGGCATATTTGAGCTAAATCTGTAATGCTGGAACACTCCCAATTTGTTTTTACTTCCATTAGCCTTCTTAAGACTAGGAAAAGGATGTGATCGCATTATTAGCTTCACAAACAACTATAGGTATACTTACATTTATATATAAGTAACTCATGTGTATATATACATTTTTTTTTCTTTTTTGCCATCTCTTTATTTTCCAGTGCTTCCAGAGAGTATGGAGTTTAAAGGCAAATCACATTATATATCTCAGCTAAAACTCTTAGGGTGGGAAATTGCCATTGGACACACAGCAGTTGGTAATATTAGATCCATCACACCAAATGGAGGATCTCACCATAATCCTGTGTATCTCTCAAAAGACCAGCCAAGTTGTGGACAATCCGGTGACTACTCCCAGGCATCTGCAATCAACAGAATTCTTAGGAAAATAGAGATCAGAGTACATACACAAATTTTTTTTAATTCACAATAGAATTCTGATTTTAATCTTAAGTGATGTTGTTTAAGCGAATTTATATCAAAATACTCATTATACTCACAGCTGTTTTGTGTTGGGGCAGTAGAACAAGAGGGAGATTCTAATTTTGGAAATTAAACTGTATGAAACCTATGGAATACATTTGTATTTTGTTGTCAAAATACAAAAACAATACAGATCCTGTGAACATCACTCTTTAGATTGAAAGAAATGAAAAGCATGACTTTCATACACATCCAAAACAAATATATTAATTCATTAATGTACAACCAAGTAAAATGCTACTAGCAGTAAAAGGAAACCCAAAGAACAGACACATTTATAATCAAGAATGCTGAAGTTGGTATGCTAATGAAAGCAAGACTGGTTTCTTCCAGAGAAAGGAAGAACATGCAATTGAATATTTAACCAACAGAATTTATTTACATGCCTACAGATAAGGACTATTCCACCTTAGTATCATTTATCTACAACTTGTAAAATATTTCAAATGCAGTGAAAGGTAGAGTCCCCATAGAATAGGATCAGGTAACAGAGAAGGGTATGTTCTAAATAATGTACCGCTTTTCAATGCAACACAAATATTTCCTTAAAATGATGAGATGTAAAAACCTTACAAGAGTGAATTCTGTGAATTACCAATATTTTGAGGTTTGATAATATAATCTCTATATAATGACACAGAAAAAAACAAGTTATTTTTTAATTTAATACTGTACATTCATTCTCTCTATTCACTCTATTTTTTCATTTTCTTCCTCATTCCACAAACCATTACTCAACAGTTTGGACATACAGAAGAGAAGTGAACAATTAAAACATAACAAGAACCCCCTTGCTTCAAGAATCTACCTTTGGACACTTGTTAATAAAAGAAAGTCTTTCTGTCATTTGGAGAGAGGGACATTTAATTCTGTGATAATAGGAATTTAATACAAAAATAAAAATAAAGAAATAGTTGATAACAATATTTCATCAACTCAGATACAATTGTATTGGTGAAAACATTACAAAAACCAACTGCAAGAGCCAAATGGTCTGCTTCCACTTAATGCTAATGAACCCAGTCTTTGCATAGATTTTGGTTTGGTAGGAACTACAGGAGGTAGCATGGTTCATTAGTCTTCCAAAGCTTTAAAATGTTAAAGGAGGTGGTTTTGCTCCTTCATTTCAAATGAATTGCTAAAAGCAGTAGGTCGTTCCTCAGTAGAACTTTGAATTTGCTAGTTTCTTCATTAATTTTGACCTTTTTACATTGAAAAAAGTTAACTCTACACTAAACCACAGCAGACTTCTACCTCCTGCAGTTTTGAATTGTGCTTAAACAAGTACTCCAAGAATTTCCTGAGAAAACTTGGGGATCATATTTTAGAAAAAGGACTTATAAAATATTCGTTGGAAATTATAATACGCTAGTAATAAAGAGCAAAGTTTTCCTGATAGTTCTAAAGCATCCAAAAAGATCCACAGGACTCTTACATACTTTTCCAAGTAGTTTCATAAATGTGGACTATGGTGGCCCTGAAAATTGACATTTCCCAACCATACTTTTGACAAGTGACCTGACAAAAATGTGGTCAATGGCTCACTTGTGACAAACTCCTTGAGAATTGTTGCCAGAGATTTGAAACTGCTTCAGGCAGATGTCTTTCAAAATGATACACATATATACACAAATGCAAAGCTGCTTTGCTGTCAGTGATCTGGAAAATAAGCTTGCAAGCCAGCCATGTGGTATTCTGGATAATTCAAAAAAAAAAAAAAAAGAAAGAAAGAAAAGAAGAAATGATACGGTGTAGCCAAGTTTCTGTTTAAGTTTCATTTGCTAAGATTTTAGCATAAGTAACATCTTGTGTTTCATTAATCAAAAGATGGCACCTGCTTTAATGCTGACATGGAGAAAAACAGATTTTCTTTATTTTGAATAAAATTTATTTCTGGAAACATATCTTTCCTGTTGATAAATAGATAACTAGTTTATGTTTTTGAAAGTCTTACTGTCTAATAACTTTAAATGTTATCAAGGAGAAAGACTGAACTTTCTTTTTTTATTAGGGTATCACTAATATACATTCTTATGAAGATTTCACATGAGCAATACTGTGGTTACTGCATTCACCCATGTTATCAAGTCCTCCCCACATACTATCAGCATACTAAGATGTTATAGAGTTACTGCTTATCTTCTCTGTGTTATACTGCTTTCCCCGTGCCCCCCCCCACATTATGTGTGCTAATCATAAAACCCTTAATACCCTTCTCCCTCCCTCCCCACCCACCCACCCCTTTTCCCTTTGGTAACCGCTAGTTCCCTCTTGGAGTCTGTGAGTCTGCCGCTGTTTCATTCCTTCAGTTTTGGAAAGACTGAACTTGAAAAAAATTTTGGAATAATTTTTTTCTGGGATATGTACATTTCCAATTTAAAGATAAAGTAGTATGTGTGTTCAGAAATACCTATTCAGCCATAATTCAATCTTAACAATATATTAACAAAGCTTTTAAGGTTTAATATGTGACAAATGTGTATCTCTTATCAGGTAACATAAGACATATAATGATCTCCATTTTTATGTTGAGGTACATTCTCTGGCTAATATAATTTCAAGAAGACTCTTTCATCTGTCGATTTTAGATATTTCAAAAATTAAATTTTAATTTGGATGGAAAAGACATTTATCTTAACCTTTGTCCCATAACTTAAAATGGTCACATGATATCCATCCGCTCATTCATTTATTCATTTTACAGGAAAATGTGCTAGGTAACCTTTAAAGGGCCATCTAAAAGCTATTGTCTGGGACAGTTAACCTGGATGTTTGGAAGGCTATCAACAAACTGAGGAAAAGGCATATGTTTCTCTAATCCTTTCTTTAGGAATCCAATTTCATCTTAAATCTGAAAAAAGAGACAATGGGAGAGGGAGAAGGAGGTGGGAGGGAGGAAAGAAAGATGAAAAGGAAGAGATAGAGAGAGAGAAAATAAAAGAAATTAACAATGTATGTTTTAAGTAGAAAGATAAGACAAGAGCAGCCAGGGAAAGGGAAGGGGAAGATAAGGTTCAAGGAAAAAACTCCCAGTTAGGAGGTCTCACCTGAAGACAACAAAAGCTTTAAAGCACAGGGAGGTAACTTCTTGCCTATGGGGACCAGGCCAGACTGGTCCCAACCAGATCACAATGCACACAGTGCAGGCACAATTGAACAAAACTAAGAACCACCCAAACCACACTTTATTATAATCCTTAATAAAATAAAGTTGCAATTTTGCT